GAGAGATTTTCGCTTTAGGGCGCGTGCGCTCGCCAGACAGAGAGAGACATAGAGACAGAAAGCGAGAAATCACCCCCCAGGGGGGATGGTCACACCGCAATCCCTTCTCCTCCATTCTCCTCTCGGGATCTTGGGCACGCACGCACACCCGGCGTGAGTTTAAGCCACCGGGTCCGGGACGCGAACCGCGGTCGACTACGTGGGAGTCCAGCGACATAGCCATTACGCTAACTGCTGGTCCCATGCATTGACTACAGTATATCCCAGAGAGAGGGAAAGTTTAATCGTGAGCTGGAAGCAGGGGTGAACGTTTGGTCTATACTTAAGGGAGGAAAGACGCGCTGCACCGGAAAAAGCCGTCTGGAAATAAGGATTGTAACCACAGGAACAGCCCGAGGACTGTAGCAAATGACAAATAAAACTAAAGGTCGTGCTTGCCCTGAAGCCTAGTGGTTAAGGGAAGGAACAGGATCCCATGTGGCCAACCACAGTTTAATCCCAGCCCCAGCAGCGTGAAAAACACGCTGGGTGCATGCGTGCGCGCTCCCCAAGTCCCGACAGTTTGGAGAAGTGGAGGAGAAGGGGTTATGGCGTGACCATTCCCCGTTGGGGGTGCTTTCTTCCTCTCCCTCTCTCTGTCTCTGGCAAATGCACATGGCCTCTGGCAATCAGAACAAGATTAAACTTAAAGCAAACAACCAAGAAGGAATTTGAATAGTTTATTTTCATTGAGATAGATAAAGCTTCCAAAAACACCTACAGCAAAAAGCCCAAGATAAGCTTAGGAGAGCCTCGATAAGAAAACAGGCCCCAGCCCAGGCACGGAGGGTGCGTGCTGCTTACAGGCCCTTACAGGCCGTGCCCTGGCAGAGGAGACATGTTATTTTTTTTTTTTCCTTTTTTTTTTTTTTTGGAAAGGTTTTTGCTATAGGGCGCGTGCGCTCACCAGACAGACAGAACAGAGAGACAGAAAGCGAGAAATCACCCCCCAGGGGGAATGGCCACGCTGCAATCCCTTCTCCTCCATTCTCCTCTCGGGATCTTGGGCGCGCGCGCGCGCGCGCACACACACGTGCCTAGTGTGAGTTTAAGCCACCAGGTCCAGGACTCGAACCGCGGTCGACTACGTGGGAGTCCAGCAACATAGCCTTTACGTCATCTGTTGGTGCCCACATGGTTCCATTTTCTAAAAGGCTGAGTGTGGTGGCATGCGCCTGGGGTCTCAGGGACTCGGGAGGCTGAGACGTGAGGCTCAGAAGCTTGGCGTTGGCCTGGATACCATAGTGAGACCCTATCGAAGAAAGAACTGGGAGAGCAGCAGGTGGAGTAATGGTTACTTTGCTGGACTCCCACCTGGCTGACTGTGGTTCGGGTCCCAGACCCAGAGGCTTGGAGCTCGTGCTGGGTGCATGTACGTGCATGCCCCAAATCCTGAGAGGAGAATGGAGGAGAAGGGATTGTGGTGTGGCCATCCCCCTGGGGAGTAATTTCTCATTTTCTTTTTCTCTCTTGTCTCTTTGATGAGTGCATTTCTCACTTTCTATCTCTGTTTCTGGTCAAATTAAAATAATAATAATAATAATAAATTAATAATTCTTTTAAAAAGAAGGGCAGCGGCCACATGAGAAGTTCTGGAAGGAAATAGGACAGAGAGGAGTTAGGTCTGATCATCGAGGGAAATGTGAGAACAGGACAGTCTTTTGCCCACAAGCTTGCTTGTCAGAGGTTCATAACTTGTTCATAACTCTCTTTAAAAAAAATTAATTTGACCAGAGAGAGACAGGGAGAGGGGGAAAGCAAGAAGGCAAGCCGTCAGGTCCCAGACTCGAACCATGACGGTCAGCCATGTGGGAATCCAGCACCTTTTACCACCATGACACCTGCTGGCCCCATTCATAACTCTCAAAGTCCTGGCTCTGAGAGGAGCAGACAAGGAATGCCAGGCCCTAGGTGGGCGGCAGGTTAGACGGGGAGCATGGGGGTTCTTTTTTTTTTTTTTTGAGAGATTTTCACTGTAGGGCGCGTGCGCTCGCCAGACAGACAGAGAGAGACATAGAGACAGAAAGCGAGAAATCACCCCCCAGGGGGGATGGTCACGCCGCAAACCCTTCTCCTCCATTCTCCTCTCGGGATCTTGGGCACGCACGCACACGCGCCCGGCGTGAGTTTTAAGCCACCGGGTCCGGGACACGAACCGCGGTTGACTACGTGGGAATCCAGCGACATAGCCATTACGCTAACTGCTGGTTCCCAAGCATGGGGGTTCTTGAGGGCCTTGAAAGGAGAGGCCGCAGTGGGCGTTGGGGTCATAGAGGCTGCGGAGAAGGGCCAGTGCCACAGCCGCTGCTCTGCTATGTGAGGGCAGCCCAGCCTGTGTCCGGCCAGGACCACAGGCCACCCACATGCCTCCTGCCTCGCAGATCCTGGAGCCGGGCCGCAGGGAGCGGCTGGGGCTGAAGATGGCCAACGAGGCCGCTGCCAAGAACCGGGCCAAGAAGCAGGAGGCCTTGCGGAGAGTGACCGAGAATCTGGCCAGGTAAGGGGCGGCCTTGCCTCGGGTCGGGGAGGGTCGGTAGGACGTCCACACCTGCTCCGGCCTGGCCCCTCCTCCAGCAGTATGGGCACCCAGCCTGCGGTCCAGGGTGACCCGGCAGCTCTCCTCAGTGTCCGTGGCCTGTTCCTAAGACCACCCTTAGGCCCAGTGTGCACTGGGAGCTCCCGTGGAGACGGTCGCCATTCCTGTTGGGGAGGACTGGGGAACACCCTGCCCTGGGCAAAGGCAGCCCTGCCCCTTGGCCTCGAGTTTGGCCCCACTGGCTGTGTGCCAGGCACCCAGGGTCCTTGTACCCAGGTCAGAGAGACTGGGCATCTGTGAGGCTCTTCTGGTGCCCAGGGCGGCACGCAGCCTGCCTCACCCTGCTCTCTCGCCCACCCTCCACTCAGCCTCACCCCCAAAGGCCTGAGCCCGGCCATGTCTCCAGCCCTGCAGCGCCTCGTGAGCAGGACAGCCAGCAAATACACAGACCGGGCACTGCGGGCCAGCTACACACCATCCCCCGCACGACCCACCCACCTCAAGACCCCCGCTGGCGGGGGGCAGACCCCCACGGGCACCCCAGCCCCCGGCTGGCCCACACGCACCCCGCTCACGCAGGACCCCGCCTCCATCACAGACAACCTGCTGCAGCTCCCTGCACGGCGCAAAGCCTCGGACTTCTTCTAGAACTGGGCACGTGGACCCCTGATGGAGCCCGCAGGGCACCCGGCTGCCCAGCAGAGGACTCCGGCCTTTGGGGGACCCAGGCCAGGCCACGAGCGGCTGGCTGGGACGGAAGCTGCTGCAGCCGGGCCGGCCCGGGCCACACTGCACCCGGAACTTGCCGAGACTGCACTCTGTGAACCCCCACTCGCCCCGTCATTAAAGGACTGCTGGCATGGTCTGGCAGTGGCCTGTCCTGCGGCTGCCCTGGGGCTTCAGGTCCCCGGGGAGGAAGCCACAGTGGGAGGTGGGGTGGGCGGAGACTCCTGCATCGCCTTCTGTGGCACCAGAACCTGCCTCCACACAAGCCACCCCCCAGTTCTTTCTGCTTCTCGGAAGTTGTGCCCCTCGGCTTCACTGGGGCTGTGTGCCCAGGTCCAGAGCCTCCCAGCTGGGCCTGGCCTGTGTGGTGTGCTGGTTACAGGCCCCCGCCCTACTCCCTGCACGAGGCCCCTTCCCCTTCTACCTGCTCCTGTCAGCGCCGTGGGGACTGTCGTTGTTCCCCTCGGAAACGGATGGCTTCTCCGTCGCCCTGCCCTGCTGCTGGGCACAAGCCACCACCACATGCTGCTGAGGCACCAGCCTCACGCCCCCGCGGCCCCAGCGAACAGTAGCCGGGCTGAGGTGTAGGAAGAGCAGGGTCAGGCCCCACGCGGACCCAGCAGGTGCGTACATCGCCCACCCTGGACTAGGTACGGTTGTCCGGCCTGCAGGAAGCCGGCAACCAGCTGGCCCCGACCTGCTCCCGCAGAGGTGGAGGCACCCTGCTGCACTGTGCCATGGCCTCAGGCAGGAGTCACACTGCCCCTGGGCGACGGGGCTCCACTGCTGGAGGCACACCTGGCTCAGGCCGGAGCCTCCCTGCTTTGAGCACACCAGTGCTCACCTGGCCCTTTCGGCCCTCTCTGGCCCTCCTGCATCGGTGCTCTCACCCCTTTTCTCCCCCACATCCTCTGGGGACTGTCCCTGCCCCCCTGCCTGTGGTTATTGCTAACCTCTGCTCCTGGACGGGAGTTCCTGCAAACTCAGGGACTGCT